CCTTCGGCCCAGTCTGAGGTCCTGAGCACTCTGGAAGAGGTTTTCTTCCAGGATATCTCTGTACTTGGCCGCATTAATCTTTCCTTCAATTGCAACCAGTCGTCCTGTCCCTGCAGCTGAAAAACACCCCCATAGCATGATGATGCCACCACCATGCTTCACTGTTGGGATTGTATTGGGCAGGTGATGAGCAGTGCCTGCTTTTCTCCACACATACCGCTTAGAATTAATGCCAAAAAGTTCAATCATCGTCTCATCAGACCAGAGAATCCTATTTCTCATAGTCTGGGAGTCCTTCATGTGTTTTTTGGCAAACTCTATGCGGACTTTCATATGTCTTGCACTGAGGAGAGGCTTCCGTCAGGCCACTCTGCCATAAAGCCCCGACTGATGGAGGGCTGCAGTGATAGTTGACTTTGTGGAACTTTCTCCCATCTCCCCACTGCATCTCTGGAGATCAGCCACAGTGATCTTTGGGTTCTCCTTTACCTCTCTCACCAAGGCTCTTCTCCCACGATTGCTCAGTTTGGCTGGACGGCCAGGTCTAGGAAGAGTTCTGGTCGTCCCAAACTTCTTCCATTTAAGGATTATGGAGGCCACTGTGCTCTTAGGAACCTTGAGTGCTGCAGAAATAATTTTGTAACCTTGGCCAGATCTGTGCCTTGCCACAATTCTGTCTCTGAGCTCCTTGGGCAGTTCCTTCGACCTCATGATTCTCATTTGCTCTGACATGCACTGTGAGCTGTAAGGTCTTATATAGACAGGTGTGTGCCTTTCATAATCAAGTCCAATCAGTTTAATTAAACACAGCTGGACTCCAACGAAGGAGTAGAACCATCTCAAGGAGGATCAGAAGGGTCTGAATACTTATGACCATGTGATATTTCAGTTTTTCTTTTTTAATAAATTTGCAAAAAATTCTACATTTCTGTTTTTTTCTGTCAAGATGGGGTGCTGAGTGTACATTAATGAGAAATAAAATGAACTTTTTTGATTTTAGCAAATGGCTGCAATGAAACAAAGAGTGACAAATTTAAAGGGGTCTGAATACTTTCCGTACCCACTGTATATGTGCATGTCTATATATGTATATATGTATATATGCATTTATATGTAGGAATGAATGTATATGTCATTACATTTCTCCCTTTGAAGTATTTAACAGTACAGTATATTTTAATGATCAATCAATCATTCAGGTCAGCTCACAGCCAAGGTGCTGAGATGCCTGTTGCAGCAACCGCTTCCTTTCACCCATTTCCTTCCATGTTTCCCCTCAGATGACAACGGCCCTGGCAGATGAGAAGAAGTTCCAGCAGCAGATTGCGACGCAGCAGAAGAAGGAGCTAATCACCTTCCTGGATAATCAGAAAAAGCAGTACAAACTCTGCAAGGAGAAAATAAAGGAGGTGTGCCACAGTGTGTTGATTTGTTCTCCTCTAATCCCAGTGAGGATGGTTTATGGGAAACATCACAGTGATTAACACGAGACACAGGAGCTGTGGGCAGCACCTCCTGCAGGTAACACCACGTACTGCAGGTAACACCACCTACTGCAGGTAACACCACCTACCGCAGGTAACACCACGTACTGCAGCTACTGCCCAGTGAGGCCGGGGTCAGGATTTAACCTCTGATCACATTTAGCTAAATTATGTCTCTCTTTCTCTCTCTCGAGTTTAGTTGTTAGCGACTGGACTTCTTGAAATTTGAAAGACGTTTCTTTCCTCAACGAAACTGATGAAGTTTCTCAGTTGAGGAACAAAACATCTTTCAAACTCCAAAAAGTGTGGTCACTAACAACTAAACTTTGGATACGTTACGTGAAGGAGATTCACTTTGAAATTGCAGCTAAAACAAAATGCGGTTGTCAAATTATAAGGGGCTTAAAATAGAACCCTGAGGAACACCACAAATAGGTTTTCAGGTTATATTTGAAGTCCTGAAGGACAAAAATAAACTTGAGGGCAAACAGCATGTCTTGACGTATCTGCCCTTCAGATATGTTCATGTCTTCTACCATTTGACACCTAACAATACCCTCCACTCCTCTCAGGAAATGAACGAGGACCACAGCACACCCAAGAAGGAGAAACAGGAGCGTCTGTCCAAGCACAAGGATAACATGCAGCATTCCCAGGCTGAGGAGGAGGCCCAACTCCTGGCCCAGCAGAGGGTTTTCTACAACAGGAACTGCCGCGCCTTCAAGCGCAAAGTCATGATTAAGCGTCACGACTTGGAGCAGGAGCAGATCCGAAAGGTGAGGAGGACGGCAATGATGATTTTATTTATTTATTTATTTTGTATTGATGTTCATAATAAAGGAAGCAATTCTGTTTGGAGCAAAACAACAGTTAGCCGTGAGTTAGCCTCACAACTACACTTTTTGTTCTTGTAAATAATCTGCAAGGTGTGAACTGTTTACAATAAGCAGATTAGAACAGAGTAAACCACGGCAGAAATGTCATAATCTGGAAAAAGATTATTAAGAATAAACAGTCAGACTCTTTAGAAAATACACAAAATACTTTAAGTTTGAGCCGATAATTTCAATGATTTAAAAACTTCTTCCACTCAGAGATAATAATCAACAATTCCTTCGTCTTGCCTTTCTCTCCTACCAGGAGCTGAACAGGAAGAAGGCACTGAAAGAGATGGAACACGGCATGCTGATCCGCCAGGACGAGTCCACGCAGGAGCTGGAGCAGAGGCAGCTGGAGACCCTACAGAAGCTGCGCATGGACCTGATACGACTGCAGCACCAGACCGAGCTGGAGAACCAGATTGAGTACAACAACCGACGCGAGAGCGAACTCCACCGCAAACACGTGCTGGAGCTGCGGCAGCAACCGAAGAATCTCAAAGTGAGTGAATGACATTGTTATCGTCGTAGCAACACAAAGTGCTCTCATGGGTGTTTTAGTTCTTATACTGAATATAAGAATATAAAAAAAATATAAGAATATAAAAAAAACAAAGATCCACAGTAATTCCCTTTGAGAGAAAACAGACCACCATTTTACCAAAAGGTTTTGAAAAAAATGCTAAAAAACATGCACAGGATTGGTCAGTGTCACATGACATGTCATTATTATTAAGTGGTAACTTAAGAACTTAAGAGACTTCAGCAATGACTTCTTTACGTTTTAATTAAAAGAAATTTTATTTGTTAGAAATTCAGTGAAAACCAGGTTAAAACAATTGCATGTGATATTTATTTTCATATATAATTACACAGATTTTTTTAAAGTCGTAAATTGGACATTTGTTTCTTTATCAATCCCGCAAAATAGAAATTGTAGACAGAAATTGTAGAGATGATGTCATCAAATGTTCAGTTTTTAATGTCAAAACAAAAATATTTAATTTTAAGTATTTTTTTTAATTCCCATCTGTGTCCTGAAAGGTAAAAAAATATATATAATTCTCACCACACTAAAAGTTGCATTTACTTTTAAATTCAATTTTATTTCACAACAATTCCAAGAACAAATGTTTTTTTATCCAGAACAACAGTTCTTTCACTCAACAAACTAAAGAACATTTAAGGCTAAGTATAATAACGGGTTCAAACGGTTCCCGATTTTATTTTGGAGGAAGATAAAGTTCTGTCTTGTCTTCTGCGAATCTGTCGCCAGACTCCCCATCAGCATCAGTTCCAGTTGGTACTGTTCTTTTTTTCTTCCTGCTGCTCTTGTTACCATTTTGGCTGTGTACTTTATAATTGTGTTCTTTAAGTTTTTATAGTTTAGTAGTGTAGGTTTCCAATAGTGTAGTATCAGCGGTGCAAGTGTAGACAGCGCACTCTGGTGGTGACAGCTGATGTAGGGTATATTCTAAATATATAAGAATATAAGTCGCAGGACCAGGTAAACTACTGACAACTTAAAAATCCGAGATTCGTATTGAAACTACTTAGTTGAGTTGCACATACTGCAGTACAGCATACTACAGTATTTCCAAGAGTAAAACAGTCACTTGTCTTGACACATGACAGAGATATCAGTACAAGATATTAGTTCAGAAACCTATCAATGATGGAGACAAAAAAAAAACAAGAAGAAAAAATGTCCAGTTTCATTCTTCTACGTCCTTCTCTTTTTGTCTTCCGCTGTCTCTGTCCTCGCCACCAGGTTCTAGAGCTGCAGATCAAGAAGCAGTTCCAGGACACGTGCAAGGTGCAGACCAAGCAGTACAAGGCCCTGCGCCACCACCAGATGGAAGTGACACCCAAGGCCGAGCACAAGACGGTGCTCAAGGCCCTGAAGGACGAACAGACACGCAAGCTGGCCATCCTAGCCGAGCAGTACGAGCAGAGCATCAACGAGATGATGGCCTCGCAGGCGGTGAGCTGAGACCACACGAGAACCGTTACCGAACAATTCAGTCAATACACGAATCAATGAAAAAATTCAACTACTTTCATGTAAATAACCAAAACTATTTAGTGACATTAACTTCTGTTAATGCAAACATGTATATACTGTATGTATATATACATATATGTATATATACATACAGTATATACATGTTTGCATTAACAGAAGTTAATGTCACTAAATAGTTTTGGTTATTTACATGAAAGTAGTTGAATTTTTTCATTGATTCGTGTATTGACTGAATTGTTCGGTAACGGTTCTCGTGTGGTCTCAGCTCACCGCCTGCGAGGCCATCATCTCGTTGATGCTCTGCTCGTACTGCTCGGCTAGGATGGCCAGCTTGCGTGTCTGTTCGTCCTTCAGGGCCTTGAGCACCGTCTTGTGCTCGGCCTTGGGTGTCACTTCCATCTGGTGGTGGCGCAGGGCCTTGTACTGCTTGGTCTGCACCTTGCACGTGTCCTGGAACTTCTGTTTTTGTATTGTCGATGGCTGTCGATTTTTTTCGTGGTTAAGAACTCTTTTTTTTCTCCTGTTTTATCGATACAGGAAAATCGCACACTCTCTCTGTAAAACAACTTCCGCACGGAACACCGTCCAGCACCAGAACAAAAATAGTGACAACCGCCTGACTCTGGAGGGGCGAACAACAACAACAACGTCCTCCAGTGTCCAACTTAGGTCACTACCCTTTTCCACAAATCTCCGTCCCTATTGATCCATGCGTGCCCATCTCACCGATATTGTCAAAACCCAAGTGAAGCAAACGAATTCGGGGCTTGCCATCATTCCAGGTGGATTTAGAACAAAATTCCAAATGCTAAATATTGGTGTTAACAGGGCGTTCACAGTTAAATTGCGAGTTGCGTGGGAGCATTGGATGACAGACAGCGAACACACATTCACCAAGACGGAGGCAACACCGGGTGAGTTACGCCACTATCTGCCAATGGATTGTGGATGCCTGGGCTAAAGTATCAGTCTGAAATGTCGTCCGAGCTTTCACAAAGGCCGGAATCATCACTGAACAGCTGATTAACAGCAATGACACTGACTCGGAAATTGACGAGAGGGATCCGGACGTGCTTGATTGTTCCCCTTAATTGTTTCGCTGACTGTTTTGTTTCGCTTAATGCGCCTTATAACCCGGTGTGCCTTATGTATGAAAATATTCCCGGTCATTGATAGTGCTCCTTATAATGTGGTGCGCCTTATGGTCCGGAAAATACGGTATATATACATATGTGTATATATACACATATGTATATATATTTATATATGTGGATTTATATTTATATATATTGTGGCGGGCACTGAGGAGCATGCCTCTCACCCAGTAGGGTTATAGGTAAAGGGGCGTGTTAAGTGCCATAGAGTTTGGCGCTCAGCGCCATGTTGACTCGTTGTCATGGACTAATAAAGACGTGTAGAGCAACTGCGCCTCAGAGTAGTGATGGGAAAACCGACTCTTTTTATTGATTCGAATCTTTGACTCTCGAACAGTAAAATGAATGTGTCGTGAACGAATCTTGAACTAATCATTTAATTCGTTTTACAGCAGGTGGCGGTTTAGCCCTATTGTGGGCGTTGTAAAGAAGACTGCGGTTCTCCAACACTAAATACTGAAGGCAACATGGTTTGCTTCCGCTGACAAAGTCTACAAAGTACACAAAATGCCATAAGCATTTAAAACCGTGTGAAAAGCTAAGAAATAAAAACACACCACAATGTGAAGATGAATGAGAGCAAAAGAGACCCGAG